CTTGGGAAGGAGGTGGCTCTCCCCCACACTTGGCCTCCTCCTGCGCCTGGTTTTTCCTCAGGGCAGAGGGGAGGTGAGGCTGCTTCCTGTGCGTGGGGATGCTGGCATCTCCTTCCCTCACCTGCACTTCTGTGCCCTGCCTCATTCTCCTGGCCCTGCTTGTGACATAAATACATGGCAGCCCACGCAAACACGCTGCCCTTAGCCTGCAGTGTAACATGCATTCCTGGGACTGCCATCCAGGGTTGCTGCACACCCTCTGAGGCCCACCAGCACTCAGTAAGCACCCCCCATGTGCCAGGCACTGTGGGGTCTAGGTGCTTGGTGGAGGACACAGCACGGGCCTGGATTCTTGGCTCTGACTCTGATCTGCTGGGTGACCTGAAGCGGCTGACTTGACTCCACTGTGCCTCAGTGTCCTTCTGTACAGAGTGGGAGTTAAGGGAAGGTTGTCGGGAGTGTTAAACATGCCGCTGACGTCAGGTGCTCGGTAGATCCAGGGTGGGCGTGACAGCCCATTTCCAGGGGCAGCAGTCAGAGCGGATGGGACTTGCTTGTTACTGCATTAGGCCATGTATGAACCAGCCCAGGGCTCAGCACCATGTCTGCCTTACTCAGGGTCAGCATGGCCAGCTTCCTGGAGTGCATCTTGGGCTGACTTGGAAGAAAGAGAAGCTTCAGGTAAAGTTGGGGACCTCACACCCCCATGACTCCTGGGGGACTCCTGGACTGCCTGGTGGCTGCGGGCCAGCAACAGGTGAGGGGTCTAGCAGGCAGCCCTGCCAGCCGGGGCAGAAACTGCTCAGAGGCCACGTGGGCCCCCACGAGGCCCTCCCCAGCACACACATACCCCCAAGCTTTGAGGTCCCCCAGCCACTGTGCCCTTTGGTTCTTCTTCATAGCACTTATGCTGCCTAGTTATGAGTTCAGCCGCTGTTTCTTGAACACCTACTATGTGCCACATGCTTCAGATACAGCTCAGCTAGTTCCCTCCACCATCAGGGAGGTGGACCCTCACTGTGTTATCACTCACAGTTTGCAGAAGGGGAGCTGAGGCCTGGAGAGGGAAAGGCACTTTGCTGAGATCTCCCCGCAGGGGAAAGTGGCCAGGGCCCAGGACCCGGCTGGCCCCACCACTGGGAGGCCAAGAGGTGGAGTCCGGCTGGGTGCCCGGGAGGGAGAGGGAAGTGGTCGCTGCCAGAGAGGTTCTCGGAGGGAGAAGCCCACAGCCTCTGGGTCCTCAGGCTGGAAATTCCCTTCTTTTTAAAAATTCATGATTTACAGACTACAACATGGATGAGCCTGGGAATATCATGCCAAGTGAGAGAACCAGACATAATAGTATAGGATTCCATCGATGTGAAATGTCCACAACAGGCAGATCCATAGAGACAGGAAGTAGACTGCGGTTACCCGGGCCAGGGGGTGGTACAGGGTCTCTTTTTGGGGTGATGAAATGTTCTGAGAAGGATTCTAGTGATGGTTTCACAACTCTGTGAATATATCAAAGGTCATTGAATTGTTTGCTTTCCATGGGTAAATTGTACAGGATATGAATTATATCTCAATAAAACCGTTTTAAAGAACAATAGGGCCCAGGTTTGCCAAACTTAGGGATCTCATGCACTGATAAAATTCATGAGACAAAAGTGGGGACAGCCAGCACCGCTGTGTGGTTGTCCCCTTTGGGGCAGGGATATGGCATCTGCCTTCTACAACCACCCCCAGCCCTCCCCCTGAATTTATCCGCAGTCACTTTTTTCCAGAAACCACTCAGGTCCCTGGAGAAAGTGTAACAGTACAGGATCTCATGAGGATATTTAGTGGTGAGCTGCAAGCTCCTTTCATTTGAAAGAACCCTGGAAATTTCCCCTACTTTTGCCGTTTCCCGTTAACTGGCTGCCGCTTTAAACATAGTGGTGGTCCCAGTCCAGGGATGGGGGACAATAGCATTTACCCGACTAGGTCTGCAGGGTGCTGGGACGGCTCTGAGATGCTGCCGATTTCCAGGGCCGCAGGGGCAGGGAGCAATGTGTGTCCCAGGCCCCATCCTAATAGTACTTTAATAGACGGGGCGTGAGCTTGGAACCCTCGGCTCAGGTGGAGAAAAGGCGCAATGAATATGTTGCTTGAAGGGCCTGCTTTTTATTAGGAGCTATCATACATTTGGCTTTGAAGGATGAGGAAAGGCGTCTCTTTGCCTCTGTTGGACGGTCTGGCTGAGAACCTTTGCCCCCACCTAAGATGATGCCAGCAAGAGATAAGCCGCACTGGCCCACCACGCGTGCTGGGCAGGCTCGCCCACCCAGTAATACTGACCTACTGACTGAGCCCCCAGGAGTTGGGCAGCTGCTGACAAGTGCCGGAGAAACGGGGTGAAATCTTTTTACTTCCAGCGAAGTCAAAGTGGTGGGAAGAGCTAGACTAGAGGGGAGACTGGCATCCTGTTCCCCTGTGATTCTGGCATGACGGTGCCAGGGAACTTTTCTGTCTGGGCCGAGCACTGTTCTAGAACTTTCTGGGGTTTACTGGTTATCACCGCTGCTAACAGACTTCAGATTACAGCAGCCCATTGACTGTCTTGGCTCAGCAGGGTCCTCTGCTCAGGGTCTCAGGCTGCAGGCATGCAGGCTAAAGTGTCAGCCAGCTGCTCGCCCACTGGGAGGCTTACCTGGGGAGGGACCCACCTCCAGGTGCTTTGAGTCATTGGCAGAATTCGTCTGCATGATCGGGTTGCTGTGAACATTCACGTGCACGTTTGTGTGCACACGTTTTTGGCTCCCTTGGATACCCACCTGGGAGTGGAAGTGCTGGGTCATGTGATAACTCTGACCTTTTGAGGGACTGCCAGACCTGCTCTGGAGCAGCCGCACCATTTTGCAACCCTACCAGCGATGCATGAGGGCTCACACAGTGTTTTAACATGTTTTAGATTACTTGCCAACACTTAATAATCATGAGAGTGCAGCTTTTAAAACTGGATTCCCAGCCTCCTCTTGAAAAATCAGATCATCAGATCTGGCACTGCGGTGAGGCTCAGTCCCCTCCCTGCGCCCGCCCGCCCTGTGCTGAGTGGAGCTGTTGCAATACCCCTACCTCCTCACCTTCCAGGACCTTGTTTACCATTTACCCTCCTGCCCCTGCAGGGATGTGTGTTTGAATCTCTTGCCCTTCTGTTCCCCCCACCTCCCCACCTTTTAAAACCTGTTTCTTTTGAAGGCTTGGTTCCAATTCCACCTGCTCCAGGAAGCCTGCCTGGATTTTCCCAGCCCTTGGGGAGTTCTCCCCTTCTCAGACTCCTGTAGTGCTTGTCATCTGCACCCCGGTGGCTTTTAATAGCTGCATCTTCACTCAACTGCTTGGGTTCACATCCTGATGCATCCAGTTCCTGGCAGAGCTCAGATAGGCCGCTGTGCCTCATTATGTCTCCTTGCTCTCCATGGGGCTACTGGGAGGATTGAATACAGCACACAGTAGGTGCTCAGTAAAGTGGCCCTCCTGGCCACAGCACCACTTTCTGGGAGCCAGCCTTACCCCCAAGAGGCATCCCCAGGCCTCCTTCCCCCCACAGGACCCCAGTCCCCCATATCCAGGAGAAGTAGGTGGAACCTCCCTGACTGTGGTTCTGCCAGCCCTTGGGCAGGGCAGAGGCTGGTGCCCAGCACTGCGCTCCTCTGCTTCCCTGCAGCCGGCCCCCAGGGGGTTTTAAAGAACACTACCTGGGCTGCTGAGGAACCGCCCCACAGGCGGGCCCATCTGGATGAGTCATCTCGTGACTAATGGTGAACACAGCAGCCCTGTGCCCGGCAGTTTCCCAAGATGATTAGGGCAAGGTTGCAGGAGCAGCTGTACGGGGTGGGGGGCTCCGCATGGGATCCCAGGGTCCCCGCCGCGCTGATGGGCCCCCGCTGGCCTGAGTGAATGAAGCATGCTGGGCCGAGGTGCCGCCGCCTGGCTCCAGCCTCCGCCGCCAGCACGCCTGTGGGATTTGCAGGGCTGTGGTCTGGGCAGTGTCGCCATATGGATCTCATAAATTAAAGCGTTCCCGGAAACAAACGGTAAATGTACCCCTCTCTCCCATGGAGGCTGGTGGAGCCTGCGATCGCCCAAGGAATTCGGAGCCATCCGTCTTTGCAGGTTTATAGCACTAATCCCTAAAAACAGCATCGACATGAAGTTAATTTCCGACAACCATGCCCGGCCTGGAGCCCATAATCGGGAGGTGGAGCGGGGTTGCCTGTGCCCAGGACTGGCCCCCAAGGAGCTCAGCTTTTCAGGCCCTGAAACTCGTGCAGGAGCTTAGCTCACCACCCCGCCTGATGGCAGGGCCCCCACCTCCTGCCCTTGCCCCTGGGGTCAGGGGTGAGAGACCAGGATCTGCAGTCCTGCTGACCTGAGCTGACCCTGTGTCAGCGTCTGGCAGCTCTGTGACCTCAGGCTCCTACTGCCCCTCTTTGAGCCTCGGTTTCCCCAAATGTGGAAAGGGGATGGGGCAACCAGGATTGTCAAAGTCACAGAGATGGAAAGTAGAAGAGGGGGGTGGGTTGTGGTAGGGAAGGGTGCAGGGCTGGAGGAAAGTTAGTGTTTAATGGGTATGGAGATTCCATTTGGGATGATGAGAAGGTTCTGGAAATAGATCAGGATGATAGTTGCACATCATGAATGGACTTAATGCCATGAGGTGCACACTTAAAAAAGGTCAAGATGGTAAATTCTGTTATGTGTAATTTACCACAATAAAAAATGTAAAAGAAAGAGGATGGATGGGGTGACCATCCAGAAGTCTGAACTGAAAAGTAGCTGGGTTAGTGATCACCATTACAACTCTGGGCAGTCATTCCCAGCTTCCTTATAGAGCTCAGAGGAACCCAGTAGCAATGGGGCTTCGGGTGGAACCCCAGTGCCCACCTGCCCCTGCAAGACCCAGCCTAGCCCAGTACCTGGTCCCAAAGGCAGGCCATTGGCCACGACTCACCATGTCCCCCCTCCTGTCCTTCCAGGTCACCTCGTCATCTCTTGAGGCATCAACAGCCATCCACCCTCCTGCCCGAGAGTCAGAGCCCCGGCTGGGCACCCCCGCAGGGAGCCTGTCCGGAGGCCCCAGGACAGCCCAGGAGCTGGGCCCAGCCCGGTGTCGGCAGAGCAGCCTGGACGGGGCCGGACCGGACCTCACGGGCACAGGTAGGCATCAGCCCACTCCTGTCTGGGCGCCAGAGAGGGGCGAGCTGCCCCCACAGGAGAGGGGCTCTGAGCGTGAGTCAGGCACAGCCCTGCACTGCGTGGTCGCCGCAGTCTAGCGGGTGGTCTGGAAGCCAAGTCTCGCCTACGTGAGCTTGGGGTTTTTCCCACACTTCTTGGGGATTGAGCCAAATCATGGTATTCTTGACAGCCTCTTATCCTTAATTTGCAGATGGCCTTTGTTTCTATGTAATTATCCCTGTGCTCTCCTGTATTCACTCAGTCATTTAAAAAAAATAACAACAGATAGCTGGGACCTCACTGCCTGGCACCAAGACACCCCGCCCACCTGACGTCCCGCATCCGGCCCCCCAGAGCACCGCCCTCCTGCCCCGCTTTCCCCACCGGCTGTGTTCACCTGAACCACCTCCCGTCGGACTCTCCCAGCGGCCTGAGCTTTGTCTCCGGGTCCTGCTTCCTCACTCAGTGTCGCGAGGCCCGCCTGTGGGGTCGCTGCGCCTGCCTCACTTGTGTGTTCCGTGTCAACATGCGCTGGACCCCGTGTGTGTGCCACCCTGTCAGTGTTGGGTTGTGAATGCGCCGAGTCAGGGCACGTGTCGGATGAGCCTCAGCCAGGGCGCTTGCTGAGTGCGCAGTGGCTCCCGTGTTCTAACCCAGGGAGGGTGCCAGGGCAGCCCTGAGGCCATGTTTCTGTCAGCAAGACCCCTCAGAGTGGGTCCCTGTGTGTGCTCTGCCCCCGGTCCCTGCGCTGCCCCTGAGGACGCAGCCGGCTGGTGGCACTGCCTGTCAGCAAGCCAGGCCGGGGCCCAGGCTGGTGGGCCTGGGCGTGGACGGTGGGGCTGGGGGAGGCGACCCACTCCTCCCTCAGGCCCCAGCCTCCCATCTGGGCCATGCTCCGGGACAGCCCCAGTACCCACTTCTTGGGGGTGAGAGAAGTGGCTGGGCCTCCAGCTGGGGGTGCATCTGGCTGGCTTGGAGCTTATGGGCCATCCTGCCCCAGGAGGGGCTTCCAGACCCTGGCAGGTGGGGAGAGGGGGGTCAGGCAGCCAAGTGGACATGTGGGTGGTGGGCAGGGTACTTTTTGGGGAGCCATTTTCCCCAGCCCCCCAGCACCCTCAGAGCCCTGGACAGGTGTCTTCTCCCACCCCAGGTCCCAGTTTCCTCAGCTAAGAAATGGGAATAAAGGCTAATGGGAGTGCCTCGCTCACAGGGCGGGTATGAGAATTAAGTTAACCCGGACATGAAGGGCATATGCTGTGGGTCCTGGCACCCTGCTGCTCATAAGTGCTGGCAGGCATCTGCATTGTTGCTGACGCCTCCTCCAGGCAGCATGGAGTTCCAGCACAGCTCTGACCCGCCTGCTGCACCCAGCTCCCCCCCACTCTGGGTCATGTCCTACAAAGCCTTGCCCCATGGGGCCCCTACCTACCTCCCGCCACCGCCGCAGGCTGGCGCACACCGCCCGGCTCCCTGCCGCGAGGCCCACGGCTGCCAGCTGCTGTCTTCAGGCTGCAGCCCCGCCCGGAGGGGAGGGGGCAGCTTCACAGCCGGAGACCCTCCAGGAGCACCAGGCCGCCATCAGACTCCTCCGGAGAGGCGGCTGCTGCTGCTCAGAAATGTGACAGTGACTAATGGCTTATTACACACCTGCCACCTCTCATCGGGCAGGCAGGCAGCACAGCCCCCCAGTCCAGCTGTGTACCAGCAGCTGGATGGTGGGGAGAGCACAGGGGGAGCACGGCTAGACACATGGACACACGTGGGCACAGGGACACAGACCTGGCAAACACACCCCACACAGGGGTGCACACACAGATGCACGTGCATACATACACAGGCACCAGGACTGTCTTACACACACATATAGGATTCATATCCATGTATGCCCACACCCCACACACATACACACACACAGATGCACGTGCATACACAGACACTAAGACTGTCTCACACACACATACAGGACACACATCCATGTACACCCATGACTGCCCCCTGCCACATACACACATGTGCTCTCTCCCAAGCTCTGAACCCCTTCCTGTCTCTCCACTCTCTCTCTACCCTGGCGGAGGGACCTTCACCTGGTGCTGGCTGGCGCAGGGGCCTTTTCCAGAAGGGCGCTGTGACTGTGGGCAGGTCAGAGGAAGTGTCTGTTGTTTTGGGGGTAACTGCGCACTGCAGTCCGCTTCTGACCCCCAGTTCCCTGCAAACACCTCATGCATGGGGACACAGCATGTGCCAGGGAGGGAAGCTGTCCCAGCAGGAGCCCCTGTACCAGGCTGGGTGGCTGGGCCCAGCGCCCCAGGACACACGCGACCATCTGCCTGGGTCTCTCCAGGCCGAGTTTGTGTGGATCTTGCGCACGGCGGTCAGAGTGCTGGCCTGGGGTGTGGTCACTTGCTGGCAGCAGGAAGGACAGCCCTGGGCATGCAGGGGAACTGGGGACCCCTTGGGCTGACCAGAAGACTCCAGCTGCTGGGAGAAGGGCACAGCTAAAATGTGCAGCCTTCCCTCGTAGGGTGGCAAGCCCCCAGGCACAGCCCTTCCCAACATTGTGAAGCCTTTCATCAAAGGAAGATCCATTGCTTGTGTGCCATCCCACGCAGTATCCAATCTGGGGGAAGGACCCTCCTCGTCCATCACCAGCTGAGCAGAATAGGCATTGCTGAATGACTACCTTTGTGCCTTCACCGCCTCCTTAGGGGAGAAGCAGCACCATCTGGTGATAAGCAAGGGTGTGGCTTGGAGTCTGAGACCCAGGCTGTTTCCAAGTGTCAGTGCGGCCACTTCGCAGCTGTGAGGACTTTGCAAGGTTCAGAACCTTCCCAAAGCCTGGCTGTTCCAGCAGCTGAGTAGGTGTGGGGAAATGAGATCTTCCTGGTAGCGTGGTGTCAGTGACACGGAGGAGCACGGAGGCGCCCAGGACTGCTGTGCACGGTGGTGCAGGTGGCACACTGCACAACTCCAGGGCCGCCCTTCTCCTGTGACCTCTGAATGCACCCTCTGCCTGTTGCAAAGCTGAGTGGTGGCTACATAATTGTGCCATGGGCCCTGGACATCCTTTCTGACCTGTGGAACAGCTTCTAAAGTGGTGAATATGCTTATTAATAGAGATAGTGGAAGCCACAAACCCCACTGATAGGGTTGTGGGGAGGTCACAGAAAACCAGGCCAGGATTGAGTCACATGTTCCTGGGGCTCCTCCGTCCTCACTTGCCATGATGGGGTGGACCACCCTTGCTGGGGGTGGTCTCTGGGTGCACAGCTGGAGTCAGGCTGAAAACCTGGAAGCTGTGCACACAGGTGCCTATCAGGAGTCAGGCTGAAAACCTGAAAGAAGGAAGCCAGCAGATAATCAGACAGATTCCTGGGCGCTGAGACCCTCAGACCCCAGGCTGAGCTTTGCAGCAGGGTCCCCAGGAGGGAGCAGTATGACTTGCCTGGAAATTGACTGTTCACAGCTGCTGACATCTATCCTGGGGCTACTTCATTTTTTTTGTTCTCTTCCTTTCTAATCATGTGCTTAAATGAGTGTCTGAGTGTTAGGACGCGGCATCTTTTGGTGTTCAGACAGGACCCGCACTCTGGGTGCGAATCCTTCCCCTTCTTCTCCCCACCATTGGCATCCAGCCTCTCTGTGCCTTGGTTTCCCCAGCTGGTGTGAGGATCCCACATCATCCATGCCCAGCGCTCAGCACAGTGCCCGGCATGCAGGAACACAGGAGCTGCCCCAGCTGGGCAGAGGGAGCGGGATGGTCACACCAGGAAGCCCTGGCCCCACAAAGGCTTTTGTCTCTTTGTTGGGCAAATGGGCTCCCCGCCAGCCAGGGTCAGCGGGAGTCCTTGGCCTGTACTTGGGTCCTTGGCTGGGGCCCCACAGTCCTCTGCAGCGCCTCCTGGAGCGGGCGCTGGTGCTGACTGATTGCTGTGACGGAAGGCGCTCAGGGGACAGCCCCACTGCCAAGCGGCAGCTGCTCGGAGGGCACGGGGCCGGGTTTGGCTGCCACCCCTCCAGCCCTGTAAGAGCCCCTCCGCGGGTGATGGGAAGCCCTTCCTGCAGAATGAGTGCCTCCCTGCTCCCGTCTCCCTCCTCCTCTCTGGCATGTCTCCCTCTGAGTTGCGATCCAAAGTCCGTTTTCCCTCCAACTAGCTGTGGTGTTTATCTTCTGGCAACTTCTTGTAACAACAGGGAGCCGAGCTTACAAGTCAGGGCAGGAGGCTCAGAAGCCTGGGCAGCCTTAAGAGGCCCTGTATGCGCAGGTCCAGCTCTGCCCAGGAGGCTCCTGGGATACGGAGCGGGGAGCCTGCCTGCTGGGCCTGGAGGGCCTCCTGCCTGTGGACAGCCCCGCCGGCCCACCCAGCTCCGGTGGCTGTCTGGCGGCTCCCTTGGCTGGTGCGGGACTCTGTTTCAGTCAAGCTGGCTGGCTAACTTAAGTTTTTAGGAAATACAAAAAGAAGAGAATTTAACTTGCACAATTTAATACAATGATAAACTGAACATGGACTTAAACACAATTCATATCGGCACAAAGAAAAGCAGCCCTTTATACCTACCAGAACCTCTTTGAGGTGGGTCTTCACCATGAACACTAAGTTCTTTCCAAATAAATTTATAAATCAGGATTTTGGGTGGAAAAGAAGAGGTCAGCTGAGCTACAGAAATGACTGCTCTGGAGGCTCAGGGTGGGGTGTCCTGGGGTCAGTGTTGGGGCCCTCTGGGAACTGGAGCTGGGCACGTGTTCCTTTGCATTGGTCCACCCATCCACCATCCTGGCCGTGACCTCCACCCACCCACTGCCCTGCTTTCCCCCTGACCGGGTTCAAGCCGGTATGTTGGTGCTTGGGGGACCCCAGGCATCACAGTCTGACACCATATGGGTTTAACTGGCTTGCAGAGCATCATCTGTCAGACTCTCAGTGTGCCCACACCAACTTTCACCCATGACCTTCTCATTCACAGCAGAAACCATTTGAAAATTG